AAAAATTTAAAAGTTACTTTTAAAAATAAAAAAAATAAATAAATAATTAGTAAAAAGAAAATATATGATTTTTTATTATTTATGATCTTTTTAATATTAAAAAAATATTTTAAAATGTAAATTTTTTTAAAAAAAATTTTAACTTATAAAATATAAATAATATTAAAAAATTGAAGTACTTGAGAACTTGCAGCGAACAAATCCTTAGCCTGGGTTCAACATATGGCTTTTTTGAGAAGCCCAACAACAACCCTAAGTGCAATCCTTAAAATTTTGTAACATGTTCCAACAACCTGGAAAGAGCTCCTGAAACATTATCCATATGCCATAGGAGTCTGGTGCAAAAATTATGAGGGAAAGAAACACATGATTTAAACAGTTAGACAAAGAATTAATACCCCATAGAACTTTAGGAGAAAGATGGTCACAAGCTGAAGTTCTCACTTTTATTTCCTACCCATCATTTCCATTTCTTTTTATTCCAGAAACAGCTCACCGACGAGAAGAAAACTGATGAGTTGCACTGCCCTGAAAACCCGAAAGGAGGCCTTCGAAAACTCAGACTCTACCAATGGATCACTTGCCACCTTTCCCTGAAAACAATATTCCACTTCTGCACGCTATCGTTCCCCCTCCGCGGCCTTACCGGGTAATACTGGTAAGGCATGGACAGAGTGAAGGCAATGTTAACGACAGTGTGTATACAAGGGTTGCCGATCCAAAGATTGGATTGACTGACCAAGGGAAAGCAGAGGCAGAAGAATTGGGAGGAAGATCAGGGAACTGATAGAGAAAGATGGAGCTGTTGATAGGAAGGTTTACTTCTATGTTTCGCCATACAGAAGAACACATGAAACTCTTCGGCACTTGGGTAGGGTTCCAGGATCGCTGGAATGAGAGAAGAGCCTCGAATTCGCAAGCAAGATTTCGGTAGATTCCCCTATTTCTTTTTTTCTTTTTTCTTCCAAAGTATTTGTAGTAGAATAGTTGGAACATATTCGATCATATTTAATACTTACCATGTTTTGGCAAAAAGGAAATTTTCAGGACAGAGAGAAAATGCTAGTTGAGAAAGCTCTTCGTCTGAAATACGGTCGTTTCTTCTACCGATTTCCTAATGGGGAATCAGCAGCTGATGTTTACGACAGAATCACAGGTAATATGTAAGAAAGCTGTTAAAAAAACAGCAAATGAAGAGGCTCTAAAAACTTGTAAACATGACTGCAACAGGATTCAGAGAAACACTGAGAACAGACATAAACATAGGAAGGTTCCAGGCGCCAGGAGAACGAAGCCCGAACATGAACATAATCATAGTGTCTCACGGTCTGGCTATTCGTGTGTTTCTGATGAGATGGTACAAATGGACGGTGGAGCAGTTTGAGGAACTCAACTATATGTGCAATGGTGGGATGATTGCATTGGAAAGAGGCCATGGCGGGGTAAACACAAGAAATTGTGTTCTTTTGGGGGTTGGGTTGGGGAAAAAAAATCTGGGTATTCAAATCTGTATGAAATCTACAGGTACAGCTTGTTAATTCACCACACAGAAGAAGAGCTAAGAGAGTTTGGATTGAATAACGAAATGTTGATTGATCAAAAATGGTGAGTTTCTAAGAAAATTTTGGGCGTCCTCCAGTGCTTTATTTAAGTGCTTACCTTAATTTGTGTTTAATTTGTTGGCTTCTGATTTGAAGGCAAATGATTGCAAGGCCTGGAGAACTGAATTCTGGTTGCACAATGATAAATTGTTTCTTCAACCACTTTGAAGATGAGTGCTGCATTGCAGATTGAAGGAAAATACGGTAACTAAATCAAAGAGATGAGGAAAGAACTGCGCATGTTTCAGTTTTATTTTACTTCAATATCTAATTCGCTTGCTGAAAAAGCTGCATTCAAAAGCACAGAAATGAAGGAGTCTTAGACAGCTCTTAGTTCGGATGATTTTGGAGTGCCTTCTTATCCCTCTATGAATAGATGGGGGCTTGATATGTACAAGAAAATTATCACTTCGGTGAGACATGAGACAATTTGAACTACCGTCATCAAATCATGACATCTTCAATGACATTCCTCTCACCGACCCAGGTATGCTCATCTCCATAGCACCATCACAAAAATTTAATGGCGATGCGAGGTATCGATCCGTACCTCTCGCTCTACCATCTGAGCTGCATCCCCGATCACTAAAACTCCTGTAAGGAGATACATAGTGTAAGAACCGGTTCTTTTAGAAATAAGTATTTGTTTTAGAACTACTTATACCTGGAAAATATAAGAACGTAGAGCCCGAAACCAGCCTTGGCTGGATGGACTCTCCGATATTACATCCACAAAGCAAATATAAAACGTTGCAACTTCAAAAAGATTATTTCATCCGTTAGAAACCCTTCTTGGAGAATTTAATAGTTGTAAGATTAGTTAAAATCTACTCTCTCTTTTTTTTTCCAAATATAAGCTTCCACAATTAACATGCATGGTTTTTCCTTTTCTTTTCTTTCTTTTTTTTTGACAAAAGAAAACTATAATGTTAGATTAAGTTAGTATCTATTTAAAATAATAGATCAGACTTGACCTAAAGAATTAAAAATACATTTCACCTACTTTTCAGCATGATCGCCAATGTGCCACATGGGAGAAAGCTAATTAACATGCATGTTTGATTTAAAAAAAATATAAAGCATGAGGGGAGCGAGGGATCATTCTATTTCTCTCCCTTCTCTTCCCTCATTTGCATAATTCTCTATTTTCATCCCTTGCCCATCCATTCGAATATGGGATTAAATTATGGGTTTCTTTTTATGCTTTCTAAAAGTAACAAGAGTGTAAGGGCATTTGGTTTTAAAATTTATAAACAGTTATCAATAGTTGATTTTAATTAAATGAATTAAATATTTTAAATTATAAATAATAATGATTATCAATTATTAGATTTTAGCTATCAAATGCATCTAAATAGTTAATCTAAACAAATCCTTATAGTAATGGAATTTTAATTGGGAGAATTTTCTTATCTAAAAACTTAATGTGGATCTCCTCTGCTTGTAAATTCTCTACGTTTCAGTTTTGATTCCTCTCCCTTGTGAAATCATATTCCTTTTACTGTACTCTTTGTGCATATAGAAGAGGATAGAATTTAGTAACAGTGATGCCAACTTCTGAAGTTGTCCGACAGTAATTCTCTTTTAATGAAAATAATTTTTTAAAAAATTATATACCACACAAATGGTGTAAATTAAAGAATGAAAAATATTACTTTTTATTATACAATTTAAAGTTATTTTTAAAAAATCAGCAATAACGTATCCAAAAAGCCTAATTTGCAATGTATAAAATTTCAAAGCTAAATTAATAATGAACAATTATTTTCCTAGGCACCTAGTGTGGCTGCAATTATACACCTTCCATGCGATTTCCTCTCTAAGAAGGGTGCTGTTATTTTGCCCTGCCAAGACAAAGCAGAAAAATATAATCAAAACAAACACTAAATGATATTTTTTCTAGTTTCAACAAACATAGATAGCCCTTTTTTCTTCAGGGTCATTGGAGGAGTGGGCTTTTCAGAACTTTCCCAGCCCTAGTCTTGTGAGCTTTTGATTGGGTTCATTCAATATCTGACTTTTCAAAACCCCAACTACAATTCTAAGCCCAATCCCTAAAATATATACCAATCACAAAGGAAAAGATTTTTTCACATGTTCCAATTCCCAACAGCCTGATAAGTGACATTATTATCTAGGTATGTACATGAAAGAAATCTGTGGTTCAAAAATTATGAGGAAAAAAATTACCATTTTTTTTTTTTGTTTGTTTCCTTTAGATTTAGACCATTACCATTTCTGCCTACACCATGGCAGCCACTGCTTTTATCGCAGCAACAGTGCTCAATCTCCCATTCTCACGGCCAAAACTGCTTAGTTGTGGCCCTGTTCGGTGCTCTAAAAACCCAAATGAGGCCTTTGAAAACTCTACCAACGGACATGCCACTTTTCCTGAAAAAAGTATTCCACTTCATCTGGCGGTCGACCGTCCTCCACGGCCTCGCCGGATAATCCTGGTGAGACATGGGCAGAGTGAAGGCAATGTTGACGAGAGTCTGTACACCAGGGTTGCTGATCCAAAGATTGATTTGACCGAAAAAGGAAAGGCAGAGGCAGAGGAATGTGGGAGGAAGATAAGGGAAATAATAGAGAAAGACAAAGCTGTTGACTGGAAGGTTTACTTCTATGTTTCACCATACAAAAGAACCCGTGAAACCCTTCGATACTTGGGTAGGGCATTTGAACGTTCCAGGATGGCCGGAATGAGAGAAGAGCCTCGAATTCGTGAGCAAGATTTCGGTAGGTTCCCCTGTTTCTTTTTTCTCTGTTTCCTCCAAAGTAGTACTAGAATAGTTGGAACGCATTCGATCTTAGCTTCTGTATTTTGTTTTCCATGAATGACTCTTTAATTACCATGTTTTGGCAAAAAGGAAATTTTCAGGACAGAGAGAAAATGAGAGTTGAGAAAGCTCTTCGTATGCAATATGGACGTTTCTTCTACCGATTTCCTAATGGGGAATCAGCAGCTGATGTTTACGACAGAATCACAGGTAATATATACAATTGTGAGAAAGCTGTATAAATTACAGCGAATGAAAAGGCTCTAAAAACATGAATGCAACAGGATTCAGAGAAACATTGAAAGCAGACATAGACGTAGGAAGGTTTCAGCGCCCAGGAGAACGAAGCCCGAACATGAACCTGATCATAGTGTCTCACGGTCTGGCTATTCGTGTGTTTCTGATGAGATGGTACAAATGGACTGTGGAGCAGTTTGAGGCACTCAACAATATGGGCAATGCTGGGATGGTTGTTATGGAAAAGGGCTATGGTGGAAGGTAAACTCAAAGAAACTGTGTTCTTCCGGGTTGGGGAAAAAAATCTGAGTATTGAAATGTGTTTGAAATCTACAGGTACAGCTTGCTAATGCACCACACAGAAGAAGAGTTAAAAGAGTTTGGATTGAGTGATGAAATGTTGATTGATCAAGAATGGTAAGTTCTAAAGAATTTTCCTTTTTTGGGAGTTTTCTAATGCTTTAAGTGCTTACAACTATGTTTCTGTTTGCTTATGATGATGAAGGCAAAAGATGGGAAGAATTGGAGAACTGAATTATGATTGCGAGATATTGAATTCTTTCTTCGATCACTTTAAAGATGAGAGCTGCATCGCAGATTAATGGAACATGGTAATGAAATCAAGGAGATGAAGATCATTACCAGGAAAGACTCAAACACATGTAGTTCAATTTTATTTTACTTTCAATGTAACTGTGTAACTGGTTCACTTGGTGAAAAGCAGTGTTCAAAAATAGAGAAGACTCACACCGTCCTTTTTTCGGATGATTTTATGGTAGTACTTGTCTTCTAGTGTCCGAAGCTGCTGCAGGGCATTTTTTATCCCTGCATGAACAAATGGGACCTTGGCATGTACATCTTTTACAATCAAACAAATAACGGGTTCATAAATAAAGGAAAATATCATTTCGGTGAAACCATGAGGGAAACAAATTTTCAGATTGATTCTGTAATTCGAAGTCAGCTATCTTTATCCCCCAGAACCGGGTAGGAAAATTGCTCAAAAAAGTGGAGATGCGGGGTATCGATCCCCGTACCTCTCGCATGCTAAGCGAGCGCTCTACCATCTGAGCTACATCCCCTAATTGGTGAGCTTTGATCAAAATGTATTACATAAGTGCTGGCCTGTGGCCTACATCGGCACCCTGAGCATGAATGCATTTGGGACACTTCTTAGCTTCCATTCAATGTTTCAATGGATTCCTTCAAAGTCTGAATGCCGTGGCTCTAAGTAAAGTTCAAAACTAGAATCCACATCTAAGGAGCAAAGAAAGAACATATAAAAATATGTTTTACTCTAGACTGTAAAACAAGAAACGTAAGAACATATATTTTCATTTAAAGAATTCACAGAATAACCCATTCCCAAGTATCAAGTAAGAATCTGGTTCATAGTACACCGGACAAGTTATACATATGTTGTTTGCACAAGTTAACCTGTGAGGTACATACTACATAACCCTAGAATCAGCAACCGGCCCTAGGGAAGTTCTGCTCTGCTCTATAATCAGCTTATTCATTTAGGCGTCGAATTTGAAAGCCATCAAACTCTAGTTGATCTTGGACATTTTTAAACTCGATTTAGGTGTCCTAATAAGGTTATCTTCTTCCATACTAAACCTGGTTACAATGAATCAAGCCAACTTGCCATCCACCTACTTGAATTTTGAACTAAAACAAATGCCTGTACGGTTTAGAGTGGAAGAGGATTGAAAATCAATCCATCAAAGCATAATTAGGACCAAAGTTTGGGCAGAAAGACAACAGGCAACAAACCAATTAAAACTATCTTCTGCAGAGTGGAATCGGTAACGTTATGAGTTCTCAGTGATTGCAGTTGTAATTCGCAATTGCCTTGGCCCATCATGTTCACCACTGCGTCGCCAGAATGCTCTCCTCCACCAAACTTCAAATCCTCTTCGTATATTGGGACAATCTTCACCAGATTTCAAGAAACGATCAAACCAAGCAAGCAAAATTTCCTGTTGCCAAGCCAAAGGCAAAGTGAGAATTGTGTTACTAAGACCATCCTCAATTAAATGTCGATCAAGACCCTTAGATGCCCTCCTCATCCACCTAAAATCATCATAAAAAGGGACCAACCATGTCTGTAAAAGCAAGAACCTCACATCTTTTGATGCCAATAGTTGCCCCTTTCCTATTCCAACGAATAGCCTAGCAGTAACCCTGCTAACCTCATATCTATGAACAGCTGGAACCTTGGAATGTGCATCAGATAATTCTAATTGAGATGCCCATGTTTTCAGAAAATCCTCTGCAATCTGTCGATCAATCAAAATATCCAAGATCCAGTGCAAATTATCTGCTTGTGTGGCAATCTGACCCACGTCCTGCAAATCAGAAGCTGCTGCTCGGAGAAAATTGTGTCGAAGTAGTTGCAAACACCCTTCACAAGCTGAATACAAAGATTCTTTTCGAAGATCATTCTGAGATGAGCTCTCGTGAAGCATCTTTGAGACCAATCCTTTCATCTCACGCCTTGCCTTCTCATCTTTGCCTTCAAGGACCACATGCAAAAGCTTGAGAAGAACTTCCTCATTATCATTACCATCTTCAGTTCCATTAGGAACTTCAATAGAAACCCTCTTCAAAACTTCTCCTGCTCCAACATTTTCAAGGCGGAGCTCTGCCAACAATGAAGCCACTTTCTCCTCTTCATCCTCAGCCCAAGGAGCAGCTTCTAAGTACTCCAAACAAGATAAAACACCAGCATCAAATCCAATTGCTGCTGAAACCTAAAAAACAGCATAGAAACAACCATTTTAACACTCAAAAAACCTATTTATTTGATGGCAGATAAAATACACAAAAATACAGTAAAAAACCATTGCGGACATGATGATTTATGTTGCTATTCTTCCAAAATATAGAAACAACTTCCATCCCGAACAGATGAGCAGAGACAACCAAAAGTAAATCTGCTCCAGTATTCTTATATGCAGTATTATCTATATGTGTATGAATCACCTGAACTAATACTATTTTGGACCTATTCCTTTTCTTGTTGTTTCTCTTATCTAACTAAAGCTAGCAAAACCCAAAGAATCAATCAAGTTACAGTCTCTCAGCAACCAATCAATGCATAACACTTGTTAAACAAAAACCTTAATCTTCTGAAATCATTGAACAGTTCCTGCTTCTCAGCATCCGACAAACTAATTAAATCATGAAACCAAACCAAAATTTTACCTTCAAAATTCCAAGAACCCTGGATACATCCTCTCTCATTAACTTCTTCCTCAGATCCTTGGAGTACATTAGCCTCAAGGTCTCTATATATACTTCTACATCATCACAATCAGCTATCTCCACCACGTACGGCGGCCCTGGGCCAGGCCTCTGCTCCTTCGCCGACCCATCGGATAACCTCACTGCAAAGAACCTACTGTGAGCGACAAGAATCTGCCGGTGCACGCTGAGGGGCACGCTAATCCCGTCCTTAGAACTCAGTGTCAGCTTGATATCACTTGAACCCGAGTCATTAAATTGGTTTCCGGGGCTCCGGGTGGACAAGAGATAAGAGATCCTCTGCATGGTCAATGCCTGCTTATCGATCAGTTGTGGTGGATGCTGCTGTGGTCGCGGAGCTGAGATCGGTAGCTGCACCTGGTTTGGGGTTCTGGGATGAACATCTGGTTCGCTAGCCATCATCTCCAAAAGGGTCGGACTCGATCGCGTTTTTTCAGGTGGCGGCGGTGGCGACATCGGGTTTAATAGGCCCGCAGTAAGTGCAGAGTTGAACTTAGTGAATCTCGAAGGAGAATGCCCATTTGTCAATGTTGTCGTTCCGGTGAAATCCATCACTGGAGAATGATTTCCCGAAGAAAACCGGACACTGAACGACAAAGAGGAATCCGTGGGAACCGTCTCCTGGTTAGGGTTTACAGGCGCACGGCGGGATTGCACTGGAGGAGAAGGAGGTGGTGGGGTGGGGTTCGTAATGGGTCTGGAAGCAGAGCAACACCAGGAATTATCAGGCGACACAACGGTAGGCGGGTCAAGCTTCCTACTGGAATGCCCAGAAGAACTAAACTCAGCGGCGGAGGCGGGTGAAGAAATTGTGGTTTCCTTGCACTTACGGCGTTTGGGTTTGACGGGCTGTGTGTGGCCCTTGAGTTGAGATGTCGTAATGGTAGTAGTAGTGGTGGTGGTTGCTGCCATGAAATGAAAGTAAAAGGATGCTTTGTTATTGTCCTTTTAACACTCAGACACCATTCATTGGCATTAGCATCGGCATCAACGTCTGAGTTTAAGACACTTTTAAAAATGTTGGTGGATACGACGAAGAAACGACACGGAGATCGTCTGAGGGAACATTAAATATGGGAGAAGAAGAAGCATCAAAGATTGTAAATATCTCTTATTTTGTGTGTGTATGTATGTATGTGTGTTTTGTTTTGTTTTGTTTTGGGGGGTTGAGTCCGGCTTAGTTGGTTGGAGCATTGGAATTCTTAAAACGGAGATGAAAAGAAAAAGAAAAAGGAAGGAAAAGGGCAGCCCCACCATGTTCATGCCAGTTATTGTCTTTTGTCTAGTTTGTCATTTTGCTTAGCAACCAATTAATTAAACATTCCTCATAATAAAAATTGTTGCATGATATACCACATCATAAATTTTTAATGTTCTAGATCTGTACCTATATGTTATGTATAAAGTTAACTTCATCAATTCTATTCAATTATTCAATTAATGTTTGGGAGATTGGCTAGGTTATATTAATGAAATTTGTCTTTCATACAAAATAATAATAATAATGTTTGGGAGATTTATGCTGTACAACTTATTTATGTTATGATATTAACAACTTGTTAGTTTTAATTAAACAACTTGTTAGTTTTAATTAAAGGAGTTTGTTTTCTTTTTTTAAGTTTAAATATTATGAATAGAAAGACAAACGTTATAAAATTTTCTCTTTTTCGAGATTCAATGTGATTTAATGTATTTCTCAAATATAAAGAGATTTAATTTAAAAAAAACTTATTTATGTTATGATCTTTGATAGAGAATTAAATTTGGATGGAGAAAGGATGATAACTAGTAAACACCCTTATCAATCAAGTATTTGATAAATACACATAATAATTATATTTATTTATATAAATTAAACTATTTAATTTATTTGATTGGAGCTAATAACATATAAGTATTTTTGAAACAATATAATCTAAACATCTGATAATCATATTCAGTCATATGACAAAAGGTGGTGATATAAGAATAATATTTTTTTATTATTTTTTTATACAAATTTCACATGATATTAAATAAGTGAATGCATTTAATATCATAATTTTTAAATAAATAAAAAGTCAGTCATTTAAATAATATATAAAATTATATAAATATATATAAGCTACCCCTAAATGATCTTCCTATTACAAAATAAAATTACTACTCCAATTTCCATGTTTGAAAAGAAATTTCTAGAAGTGCATGCATTATGGATTAAACAGTTGTGAGTTTTATTGAATTCCTTTAGAAGAGGGGAGAGGCGGGGTAGGTGCGATTTGTGATTGACTTGGTGGGGATCGTCTGTCTCACGTGAAAGAGAAAGAAATAAAGTTTGATTAAATTAAGGGGACAAAACAGCTATTTGATAACTATATATGCACTTCTTTTCTTTTCTTTTTTTTTCTAACCAAAGTTTGTGCTTTCCCTCACTTTATCCAGTAGGTTTTTTTTTTTAATTTTTTTAATTTTAAATTATATAATATTATATAATGAAAAATAAGAAATAAAGTTTGATTAAATTAAGGGGACAAAACAGCTATTTGATAACTATATATGCACTTCTTTTCTTTGCTCTTTTTTTTATTTTCTAACCAAAGTTTGTGCTTTCCCTCACTTTATCCAGTAGGTTTTTTTTTTTTT